ACTTAAATTAAACTCATTCTTCTACTTAAATCGTGCATTATTTAAAAAACTGCTGCTGCCACATAAACAGTAATTTTATATTTCCACATAAACATTTCTTAGAACCTAAAAATCAAAAAAAATAGTAGGTCCGTGAGCGAATAAAAATTATTTTTACTCGAGTAGTAACAAAACTAGTAAACTAAAAAATTGAACACGATAACACATCCAGGCTAATAACTCAGCGAGGGAACCAAATTTCAATTAAGTTCAGCAAGCAGCCAGAATTTTGACGAATAGAATGTCACCAAAATCGCCACAAATCTCCCACAGCAAGGCTGGTAAAAACGCTCTAATATGAACTTAGATCAACGCTTGCCCAGGTTGCCAGTCGGCCTTGTTACCAAAATCCTGGTCCCTGTGCGAAAAATATTTTCACATTAAATTGGAAATGAACGCGTCGATAAATGAGCTATTTTAGCATCCATGCTTTTAGGAGCATTGGTCTGTTGACTGCAAGAAGTCACAATCAATGCACGCAAAATACAATGAACGGAGCCGAAAAGTCGTAATTCTGACTGTGCGTTCACTTCATGAGGCTTATTCAAACGCAGTTTTAGTAACTTCACTTTATTCTGTAACTATGCAGAAGGCCTCCCTACAGGCTTAAAAGGATCCCGCTCTACACAAGTCGACCTCGGTTACACTTCCCAAAAACGTGCAAACAAACTTTCCAACTTAAGAGTACGCCAAATTTTTTCCAGAAAAATACGGAAGTAAACAAAATTGACAGACAAATCAGTTTCTAGTATCCTTTTAGATTTGAGAAAAATACAACTGATTGACCATAAGTTCGTCGTGAAGAAAGTAACCGTTTCAAAAAAGAAGCGTAGCTCTCACTACTAAAATCATGCGGAAGGTTATCTAGCTTTCCAAACTGACATAAAATGAAGCCAAATAGCCAAAAAAATCGTTCCTCGACCTTCTAGCCTATTGTCTTGATCATCGCTAGTTGCAATTCGCATCCTATATAAGTCGTTCTCCTCCCCCTATAGAGTTAACCGTATGTAGTGTTCTAGCAAATGTGTCCTGCAGCTAACCTCCATTCCAGCTGGTGCCAGACGTTCTGCTTGAGCACGTTCAATTTCAATCATAGACTGCTGTTGCTCCTCAATTTTTTTGTGTAGGTCAGTGATTACTTCCTGTTGCTTTCTTAGATTTTCGGATAAACGGTTGTTCCTAAAATACAAAGACTTGATAGATCCGATGAAAAAGATATTCAAAAAAATTTTAAAGAACAATATGCAAATGAAAATATTTCAACTCACTCTTCCTGAATTTCTATATTTTCACATCTGATTGAGTGGCGGTAGGCTTCGTTTTCCTTTTTTGTTTTTGCCAATAAGCTTTCCAGCTCAGTTACCCTAAAACAGTTAAGATCCACAAGTAAAAGTCAGGAAGAGTTTTCGAACTAGAATTCCGTACAAAAAAGATGGTTCAGTTCCATGAAAGAATCCGTTACTTTTGATTTCCACGCAGATTTGAATGAGTTTTCTAAAATAACCCACTACAACAACTGCAAAACCCAATAAAATTTTCGTAATTTAGTCTTCTTTCTCATTAAAATCAAAAGCCAAATAGCAGCTAGTTCTAGCCCCAGTAACTATCTCCACTAAGTGCAAAAGTGGTAAAGCAATAAGTAGTAAAAAAACTATTAACAATTAACAAAACGCTTTGTAATTAAAAATCTCGGTATATGTTTCGTCTTATTCACTGGTTTATCTTCTAAAAGATTGACTCGTAAATATCAAGAGAAGAGATGAAATGAAAAAGGCAGCAGAACTAGAACTACGAAGAGAAGTAAAAAAAAGACAACAGGAGAAGCTGAGAGAGTAGCTGGCGCTTCACTTCTAGCCACTTTCACATCTCTGCTTCTCTAAGAGAAACCACCTTAAAACTCCTTCTTGTAGAACAATTACATTAAAACCGCTTTCATTAATTTTCAAAGTTTTATAAAAACTAGTCACAGGTTCTAAATCTTCTCGTTCTAAATATTTTCATAAGCACCAAACAAGCGTGTTATCTGGGAAGAAAGCTCATTAAAAATAAACCTCTTTCAACTTCGAACGCAGAAAACCAAAAGATCTAGTTGAAAAAAACGGCAAAAGAACCTTCAACTGTATGGTAATAAAAATCTACTACTTTCAGCAGTAACTAACAGAGAGCTTATTAAAAATAACCTAAGAATTCATGCAGTACTATTTGTATTTCTTTTCATGTTTATTCTTAAATTTGAAAAGCTCAGTTGCCACATGTAATCCAGCGGAGGTTTCAATGTAGCTCTGACCACTGCTCAAAACTAGTAACAAAATACTTTTTTAGAATGTATAACAAGGGGGAAAGGTCTCTCTTAATCTTCTTATACTTTCAACCTGTATTTGAAAAGATAAAAGTAAGAATATAAATGAAAATTTCGCATTTCCACTCGTTACCCATAATTTCGTATAGAACTTCCTTAAAGAAAATAGTCTAATATTTTGAAAATAGCTCATACGAACAAAATTTCTCATTAGCAACATGAAATGCCGCCAATTCTGTATGAATTAAAAGCGAGTGACGAAGTGGAAACAGGTGATAAAGAATGTAGCAAGCCTTAGTAATCTTTTGAAAGCAATTTGTTTTTCGAATGTGAAAGCACAACTTAAATGATGCTAAACAGAAAAGCCTCAAAAAAGGATTCATTATTTTGAACTAGCCTGTCATTTGCATCCTTTAACCACTGTCGATGCTCATCAAGACTTCTTTCTGTTTCAGATCTTCTTATATCTAAGTTCTTAAGTTCTAGTTCCTTCTCCTCTAACTGCTTGCGTAAAACGTCAACCGTTCTCCGTAGAGACCTAAAAATTTGTGCAAATAACGCAGCAGCTTATTAATATAAAAAACCCCCCACATTCTTTGAAACTACAAATACGGGATAAGTGCAAATTAATGACCCTTACTCAAACTCTGCTTTATCTGGTGCCTCCGCTTTCAGCTTAATCAACAGTTCTTCAGTGGCTTTTAACAACTCGGTGAGTATAGCATACTTTTCTTGCAACTAAAAAAGGGAGTAAAAGACTTTTACTGCTGTCACTTTTTTATGTCTGAGGTAACTTTCACAAATATAAACAAAAACTAACTTTTTTTAGCTCTTCCTCGACTTCCGCTTGGTTAGCAAAAGTTGTGTAAGATTTCACAGAGAAATAATCACGTCTCATTATATCTTTTTCCCGTTCTAGACTGGTTATTGTCACTTCAGATCTCTTCAGGCTCTCTTCAAGGCTAATATTCCTTAAAATTCCCTCTTTACCTTAATAAAAAATAGATTCAACTTACCAAAACTAACCTAGATCCATTAAAAGCATATACCTTTCCTGAATTTGGTAGAGTTCCGCCTTAGCCTCCCTTTTGTATGCTTCATTCTCACTTATTAATTTTGAAACTTCTTTTTCTAGTTCTTCTATTCTGAAAACAATTTAAAAAAAGTGAGGAATCCATAATTTTGTTGCGAAAAGTTGATTAAAAGAATTTATCATTACTCAAGTTTAGTGAGACACATCAGACTGTAAAAATTTTAATATTCGCAGCTTGAAGATAAAAAAGGTTTGCCAATTATGATCAGTCCGTCATTGGATTAGTATAGCTACCTTGCCATAAACAGAAACAGTTAATGTAATTATCAGCAAGCTCGACGAAAGTTTCCAAAACCAAAGAAGATACAAATTTCTAAAAGCCACAAATTAAGTAGGTATTAAGAAATAGCCAGAAAGGATAGCAAAGCAAATTTTTCACTCACAAAATCCTGATTTTATTAAAATAATTTAAGGCTTTATCATTTCTTATATCTAAATGTCCAAAACTAGCAAACTGAAAGGTATTAGAACCAAGCACATTTTAAAACGTTAGCAGATGAAAGCGTAAAAGAATGCTGTAGAAGCAGGATCACCATGTATACAGAACTTTTTATGTTCCGTTCTTTCCTAAGAGTTTTGAGAAAAGTTGCATTTAAATACACATAAAACGCTCTCCTTGAAACGCCGCAGGAAACGAAACCCAAAATCTTCAATGGTTACTAAATCCCTCACCAGTTTTACAAGTGATGTGCTTCTCAAAAAGTTCATCCTAACATAGTTTTGCCACAAAAGTTCCAAACTGAAATTTCTAATGGCTTTTTCTTAGGGAAGGGGGGCAAGTGGGAGGAAAAAACAAAGCATTAAAAGCAACAAGCATCTATCAAAATATACTATCCATTATACATTAGTGCAGCACTATTATGTGAGGTACACGGATTAGTGATTCAGCAAAAAAGCAAGTAAAGGTTAAGTTAAACTAAGGATATTGTACAAGAAAGTGCCCGAAAAACATTAAATCTTCTAACCACCATACCTAGTTCTGCCTTCATTGTACCGCACACGAATTTCATCCAAAACGTTTAACGACTTGTCTCTGTCCTGTACAATTTCCTTATATTCTTCCTCCTTTCTTTCAACAGTCTGCTTCAAAAATTCAATCGTACGGTGTAACTCGCTTTAAAACAAAAATTTTTTCTGTACAACAGACTGCAACACTTATCGGCAAGAATAAACAATTTAAAAACTTAAATTCATCTTGCTAAATAGCAAGTATAAACAACATAAAAAACTAAAGTAAAATTCAAAATTTAATGCTTTGAGCAGGTCGATACGAACTGAAAATACACAAAGGCCGTGAAACATGCACCGTTGTTAATCCCTAGGATTTTCCATGCACCCAATAACAAGACTAAAGCCAAAAGTCATAAGCAATATCGAAAATAAACAAACACAGCGAGAGTGAAATCTTCAACTCCTTTTGATTAATTAATGATTCACTAATAAAAAAGGAAAAAAAATTAAATTTTCAATTATTAACTACTGTCCACCATCAACTACGTGATTGTCAACATTCAAATTACTGAAAAAGAAGAGGAACGAGACATGAGCAATTTTGCCTAATATCAGTACTCAAAAAAATGAAAAATAAAAACGGTTCAAAATTCCAGAGAAATATTATATATTATTTTTAAAAAAATGGTAATTTCCAAAATTTTTGACGAATTAATATCACATGAAAACAGCAACAAGCAAACATTTAAGTTCTAGAGCTTCGAAAGCCGTCACTGAAACGCTTACTTCGTAGAACTCTCCAATGAGGCCTGCGCTTCTTTTTCTTTTCCATCAATCACTTCCCTAAGTTCTTCGTTACGATGACGAAGCTATAATTTATCAAGTAAAGTATCAAGCAGAAGTTTAAGAGTAACTTTTTGAACTGTATAAAAGTACCTCATCATTAGCGTCCCGAATTTCGTTCAGTTCTTTTTCTTTTTCACTTAATACCACTATTAAATCATCAAGACTAAAACATTATCTCTAATCATTAATTAATCCAGTTCATTGTCAAATTGTAATTCGGAGCAACTTTGACGATGTGTACAAACCAGATAATGCCAATAACAAATAAAATAAAGTTAATAAAAATCAGGTAATATAATAATGTTATAAAGTAAACCTTTTTTGGACGGCAGACAAATCTTTTTTTTGCTCGCTGAGCTCCTCTTCTTTACACTTCTGGATTTCTGCAATCAAAGAACATTTCTGATCGACTTCACCCTTCAGATTTGTGACTGAGTTCTCGAGCAACCTGCAGTAACAAGTGAAGGATTTTTCCTATACATAACAAAGTTGTTAAACCATTAAGCATTTAATAAAGCTTACCGAATTGTTGCTCTCATTTCATCCTCTTTCTGTTGTGCATTGACCATTTGTTTCACGTCTTCCGTGAGCTTACCTTTCAGTTCAGCTATCGTTTTCTCCATCTAAACTTAGCGACAACATTTTATAGACAATGTGAAGAACAAATTAAAAACAATTTTGAACAAGAATACCTCTTCCAATCCTGCATCTCCACCTGACACGCCCACGGCCATTTCGAGGACTTTTAAGGGCGCCAAGAGTTGTGACTCAGCGTCCGAAGAACTAGAAAACTAAAAAGCTACAGAAAAATGTGTAAAATCTAATACCAACTACAATAGAAACTGCTGAATTCTCCATATGTCGAATGGTCATAAATGTTAGAAAAATCCATTTAGAGTTTTAAATCGCAAACAACAAATATTAATGTACGCTAACTGAAAATTTTTCTGCAAAAAATGCGAAAGACTCTTAGTTAAATGTCTGCCGACAAAAAGAAATCCGTCTACTTCTTTAACAGTGTCATAGTGTTGCAGAATAAGTAAATTCCTCTGTATTATTCCTAACAAGAGAAGCCTCTTTCAAAAGAAAACATTCGATGCATAAGCAAAGTAAAATCAAAAATGATGAAAACCTACTCTTTTTGCCAAAGATATTGCAAAAGTAAGCCTTTCGAGAAGCCTCAACTTCCCCACCTCCCCCCAGAAAAGTTAAGTGTACTCAGAAGCCTTAAACGGCAACTACCTTCTCCAATTAGCCAAAATGTCAGTATTTTCGCCCTGTAGAGCCCAGCAAAGTGCAACCTGAACCAAATGTTAAGAATAGTGGTTGTCTTTCATATCTATTGTATAGATGGACTACCCTTTTTTACCTTTCTGGATGAATGTGCAATCAGAGAGGTTTCTCTGATTCTGCTATTACCGTCTGAAAACGATGCATCGTTTGCAAATCATGTAAAGCCTCCTTCTTTTCTTTCTTAATGCCACAAACCAGCAAAGTGGAACTACTTTTTTTGCGGATTTAGCGTACTCGAAAAAAATTTTTTTACTTTCAATAAAACTTAGAAATTTTTTTCAAAAATTCCAACAGCCTACCACAGAAAGGACTTTAAAATTATTTAGCCTCAAACCAGTAAGAGAGCAGTCAGCACATCTAAACTGGAAAACGCCTCTGGTCTTTGTTCAACCCAGCCCTAGCTGAAAGGCCCTTATCCTATTACTGTCATAGACCAAAAGCCTTTTAATGAAAATAAGTCAGTCTTGGTGCACTTTCTTGAGTTCTATACTTTCTTTTTTACGTCACTAGCACATAATTTTCTTTCCGTTTACTACCTTTTTAGCGCTCCAGCCAATGAATTCACTAAAATGTTGGCCTTGCTTGCAGAATGTGCTCCAAAGCTAAAATTTTCATAAGTGATTCACTTCACCGAAATGTACATTCTGTTTTAATCAGTTGAGAATGTACTCCTTGTTTTTTAAAAATCTACACCTAAAAACCACTCTTCTACTACACTGTCAGTTACGTACCTCGACTAATTAGAGAATAAGTACCCTTGCACATTTTGAGCAAATGTAGTAAAAAAACTGTAAAATAATTTTCCTGCACAACCGCTTATTCGCATTCAAGAATCATCGAAAAATAGAAATTTAGAATAGTGATAAATAACGATAAACTTACAGCCCATGGTCACCGCTTCGTCGTCTAGCACCTTCAACGAGATTACTTTCCACAGCAATATCCATAGTTTTTTTCAGCTGCGCTACCTCATCATTCATTAAGGCAGATGTTTCTGACTTGAGTTCCCTTTCTACCACTTCTTTCATCTGTGAGACTTTCCCTAATAAGTTCCGTAAGTTTTCATCCACTGGCCCAATCCTTCCTGTCAATAAATCCAACTCATTAATAATATTGAGCACAAGCGTTAGCGTGTCATCTTTTTCATTAATTCCCTGCTGAAGACGCGCAATTTGCTCATATCCGTTAAGTAACAAGGAAGTGAACTCGTCAATCCGATTATCTGCATTGTCCTTCACCTCCTTCAGTCGGGAATCAACCTGCAAAACGGGACTTTTGAAACCAGTCTGTAAGAAGTAAACGAGCAACTCTCACTATTCAAGCGGCAGTAACCTACCAAACCGCATTGAAATAATTAAGAAGAACAAAGAGGAAAATGACACGGCACACTTGTGACTGAGGAAACCGCACAGTCAAAGTGTACGTAAAGAAGTTTGGCTGCGACCGCAACAGTCTTACGCCTAAGCATACCGGCACTACTTCCAAAATTAGGGTTTGTCTCATAAATACATCTCTGCAACAGCTTGGTTTGGTACTCGTGTTGCTGAGAGATGAACTAACCAAGGAAGCTGCGGAAATGAAAAACTCGCGAGCAAACGCCTCGCTCACCTCATTTTACACTGAAATTCCGTGTGCCGCTTATTGACAAGGAAACGTTAAGCAGCAGCAAGCAACGATAACTAACATATATTTCTTTCCGCTATCCAGTCGCATTTTCCTGCTGAGTCGCGCTTGAGGATTTGATCCCCAACGCTATTTAATACTTTTTCGGGAAGCCGACATAGCTGCTAACATGTCCAAAGCATTCCGTACGAACGGAAATACGAACTAGTACATGCAACTCCTGTTTTCTAATGTAATCATATAACAGCTTGTCAATAAATGAATAGAACTTGAGAAAACATCTTTTGGGATTTCCCGTCGCTTTTTGCTTACCTCTAGTTCGAAAGATAGAACGCTGATCACATAATTAGCAGATAATCTTATACACGTCATGAGCAGAACTTTAAAGAGAAAAGATTAGTTATTTGCGGACGACAATACCATTCTTTCCTTCAGAAACCCGTTTACTCTAAAATCACCGTAGATATCTGTCTTCTCAACTGTTTCCTTCCTGACCTAATACAGAGGCTCGTATCAACTCAAAATTACCTTCCTTAATTATTAAACTGTTTCAAAACCTCATAGCCTACTTCTCTAAGAGATTGTTTCAAGCATTTTCAGTGTTGGTTCATTATGCTCCACTGTCCGGCCGTTCTTCAAAACAAATAATCCCTTCTCCAAACCGGAACTATACGGTTACTAAAGCAACACAGGAGCAACGCATAAAAGCAAAACGAAAACCTCTCTCACACTGAACGAAACAATACATTCCTATAATCCAGTAACTTTACATCCACTCGCCTCTGTATTCTAATCCGCAAAACTCCAAAAAATCAACCAAAACAAACCAGGAAATATAGACTTTAACGGCAGCGGTACTCCCCTTAACCAACATAAAAATACATAGTTTATCCCTTACTGACACTAATTGCTAAATGTAGTGTAGAGAATGAAACTTTTCTCCGCATAGCCACTTAAAACCGTCAGCAAAATATACGCAATTTCTTCATACACTGCCAAAAAAATTACAAAATACACATCCTACCTGACACTTCAAAAGATCCATTTCCTCGCAGCGCTTCTTTAAACCACGCAGAGCATCCTCAGTTCTAGAAACATCGCTTTAAGCAAATTAGTTTATAAAGCAGCAAGTTAAGTAAAAACTTAAAAGAGCAAACCTTTCCGTCGCCGCATCCAAAAACAACAGTTCGTTCTCATCCACGACCGCAGCACTACCACTACGGCCACGTTTTAATACACTCGCTTCATCCACTCCACCTGTAAGCGACCCCAGCTTACCTTTCAGCTCTGACAACTCGTAAGCAAAAGACCTCACTTCCCTCTCCTTCTCCTCCACCAACTCCTTCAAGTAAACAGTTTCGTTTTTCGCATTCTCAAGCCACTGTCTGCATTCTCCAAGCGACCACTCAGCCTCATCCCTCTTACGACTAACAGAAAGGAGCTCCTCAGTCTTCAAAATCAGCTGTTTCTTTAAGACTTCTACTTCTTCAACCCGAGGGGCAGAACCTATCCTCTCATTTGCCACCAACAACTCCTCATCTAAACATTTTATTCGCTCCGTCATCTCCAAAATTTTCCTGCTCAGCACCTCTTCCCCCGGCTGAACAAACTCCACTAGTGCAGGCCCGGCGAACTTTACTTCGTGTTCTCCTTGAAGTTCACTCTCCAGCGATGTTATCTTTACTTCCTTTTCTGCCAGCTCTCCTTGTAGTCCTTCGAGCTCCTTGTTCTTGTGCTCCACCTCTTCCTCAAGATGTTGGATCCTGTTGTTCGCATCCTGTAGCCATTGCTTGTGTTCACCAAGCGACCACTCTGCGTCCTCTCTCTTTTTGTTGATCCCAGAGAGATGAACGTTCTTCTGGTCTAGTTCTCCTCTCAGCTCTTGCACTTCTTCAGGACGTGGGGCACTTTGAAGGTTCTCGGTTGCCTTTTCTAACTGCTGCTCCAGTTCTCTAATCCGCTCTTCCATTTCAGCAACC